ATGAGCGTAGAGGTTGTTCAAGTGTGTTATTTTTACTATCACAGGGAGAACTATGTAGAATGTATAATAATACGCAGACAAATTCTTTACATAATCATACTTATTTATTTTAGCATGAAATAAAAATGATCAATGCTAACGTGATGAGTATATATCGCAATTGTACGTGTACGCAATTGTACACATATACACACACACGTACACACGTATACCAATGATGTCAAAACCGAACAATTCGTGAAAATTTTTTATTGATCGCAATTGTACGCAAAGACGAAAGAGAAGTACACGGGTCTCCGCGGGTATCTCGTCATATTAATTGTCTATGAGCTGATAAACAATTAATCTCCGGTATTTACAAGTTACGCTTGTCCGCAGCTTGTTCGGTTTTGATATCATTGGTATCAGTGATGCGAATTTGGTGACGGGCTTGCACGAGGATTCTCCTCCCCGCCCCCATTTTACGCACCAACCAGCTGGGTCAATCCGCGTGAGCCACGCGATCGGCAATTGTCGACGCGCCGAGCGAGCGAGAGAGAGAGAGAATATCATTCCCTCCTTGTCGCTCTCGTTCTCGCTCAGCGAGCGAGCCTAATTCTTTCTTAATCTGAATCGCGGGCGCGACTGTCTCTCTCTCCTTTCCTCTCTATGACAATACTGAAAAGTTTTGTCTACTCGGCGCACCGAAATTATTACAAATAATATTTTATTATTAATAATAAAATATTATTTGTAATATATATTATTTGTAATATTATTATTTGTAATTTTATTTGTAATTGTATAATAATGTTACAAATAATATAAATTTTTACAAATTTTATTTGTAAAAATTTATATCATTCGTAATATTATTTGTAATAGTATTAATAATATTCGGCGCCAAGAAAATGAAATATATTTTATTAATTATTTTGCGGAGTCGGGCAGGTTCACAGGTTTGATTATTGAATTGTTTAATAATATTTTAAGAATAATTTTAAGTTATACAAGGATGTAGTATGAAATATAAAAGAATATTGTAACAGAATCAAGAAGTACGAAATGAAACCTCTTTGCTTTTATTACAATATCCTGTAAGTTAATAAATATTTTTCATACAGTATTAAATAATCTCCAAAAACAATTACATCCGTGAAATTTCCTATCTGCGCGAAAATAAATTCATAAAATATATTTGTTTCGTCGCTCTAAATGAGAAAACTAAGAGAACAATGTCATAGTTGTTCAGTGCACTACTCAATAAAAGTATAATAATACTATGTTTGTATGTGTGAAGAATATTTGCTAACTTACAGGATATTGTAATAAAAGTAAGGAGGTTTTATTTCGTACTTCTAAGGCCAAGACTTAATAACGGCTAAAGACATATTCGAATTGATCTTGCCTTAATTGGTCGGATCAGTGATTGGTCTTGCCTTAAGTTCCAAGCCTTATAACTCGGAAAGTACTCGATGAAATGTAACTTTGTTAGAGTGTTTTGGAATGCTCTCGAGATAAGCTACAAGAATATGTAATAAAAAATCGTAGTTTCTATTAAAAAAAAAAAAATTAATGACGGCCTGATTTTGACAAGATCACTTCACTCAAGTTCAAGTCCACATTTCCGTTATGTGTCGTCCTTCAAGCTATGCAATTTTCGTTCGAAAAATTTTTTAATAAAATCATCGATAATGGACCATATCACTTTAGTTAGAAAAGTCTGGAAACGGTCAAATACCTCGGAAACGAAACGTTTTTAAGAAAAATATTTCCAACTAAAGTTGAAAGGTTTTAAATGTTCTATTGGATGATCATATCCGGTTGACCTTGAATGGAGGAGTCAAGGCGAGGTCAATGCCAACATGATTTTTTTAAATGGAATATCCCATTTTTTATCACACAGTGTTAAAGATGACAGCGAGACGTTTCCGAAATACTACTTGATGACTTATTTTTGTCGAGAATTGTCTGAGTTATGAGCTTTAGAATTTACGGTGCCGCCAGCATTAGTATTATTCAGGATGTACCACGTGGAGGTTGCATGGTCGGACTTTACACCCCCCTGTGTGTGTGTGTGTGTGTGTGTGTGTCAGCAGAGATAAGGACTATGCAGTAGTAGTGCGTCAATTTTTAACTGATACTTTCCCAAACCGATGGATAACAAGATGTGGAGAAATAGAGTGGCCCTCTAGATCACCAGATCTTTCTCCATTGGACTACTTTTTATGGGGATATGTTAAAAACAATGTGTACGGAACGAAATCTGCTAACTTGGCAAACCTTAGGGAACGTATACTGCACCAAGTAAATCTTATTTCACCAGAAATGAGACGAAACGTTTTAAATGAATTTCATCTACGATAAGGTTATTATCAAGCAGCAGACGGAAGACAATTTGAACACTTAATTCAATAAAAACCCGTCTACATACACACGCACACACACGCACATACACAGGGGGGGGGGTGTAAAGTTCGATCATGCAACCTCCACGCAGTACATCCTGGATAATACTAATATTGGCGGTACCGTAAATTCTAAAGCTCATAACTCAGACAATTCTTAAGTAAAATAGGTCGAGTAATGTTTTGGAAACGTCTCGCTGTCAACTTTAACACTGTGTGATGAAAAATTGAGTATTCCATTTAAAAAAATTATGTTGGCCTTGACCTCGCCTTGATTTCTTTACGCAGGGTCAAACGGATATCATCATTCAGTAGAACTTTTAAAACCCTACAACTTTGGTTGGAAACATTTTTTTCAGAAACATTCTATTTTCGAGATATTTGACCGTTTTTAGACTTTTCTAATACCCTATATACATATATGTATAAACAAATTTACTCTGCGTGCTGTTCCAACAACTAAGGTATCAGTAGCAGGACAGTTGTATAAAGTAATGAATGCCATATTTCATCATGGATCGTGCATTGCAAGAGGTCATTACACAAGTATATGTAGAGAAGGTAAATCTGATTGGATTGAAGCTGATGATACGCAAATAAAAAACACTGGCCCAGAGGCGCTACAAATGTTTGTATTCTTTTCATGGCAAAAATTTAACACGTTTATTAATAGTATCCAATATTTCAAAAAAATATCTTTTTAAAAGTTATTATTATTCAAGGAAAACTTAACGACAGAAAATGTACGTAACATAAGTTTTTACAATTGTAAAATTTATTATTGTAAAAATTTACAATTGTAAAAAATTACCTTTTTAAACAAAAAGGTAAAAAAAAGGCGCCAAGTACAAGTACAACATATATTGTGTTATTTTTAGAAATTTCAAATTCAAATTTTTTTTTAAAGGTATATGTGTGTACATAACAAGTTTTTACAAGTAAAACTTAAAGATAATACATACGATTTTACAAGTAAAACTTATATAAAAATTACCTTTTTAAACAAAAAGGTAAATAAAGGCGCCAAGTACAAGCGCAACACGTATTGTGTTATTTTTAGAAATATCAAACTCAAATTATTTTTTTTAATGTATATATGTGTACATAAGTTTTTTATAAGTAAAACTTATAACTATAATAAAACTCTGCAACACTATTCTACTGTACAAAAGAAGTGATATATTAGTTTCACTATATAGTGGTATATAGTAGTTAAGTGATATCAAGTTTTAGTTCGATATAGTTTTTTAAAGTCAAATTATTGAGTGTGTGAATAGATGTTATTGACATTTCGTCAATTATAATAAGAATAACATCTTTGAATAAAAAAATATCAAAATATGTAGAATATATACACATTCGATATGTATATTCTATAGTGAAGGTTTATAATTTATTATAATACTATATAAACTTAATTAAAACGTTACACTGTATATGTATAGAGAGAATTTACAAGTACATTTTATTATAATAAAAATGCTGTCATATATGTATTAAACAAGTTTTAGTTCGATATAGTTTTTGATGCAGCCGCGCCAAGACTTTTTGTATTAAATATTTTTTATTGCATTGTTATAATAATTAATTTGTTACAATAACAAGTAAAATAACCATACGAGTATAACTCAGTGTCCTAATAAAGAATGATAAATTTTACTTGTAAGCTAGGTTTTCTTGAATATTTTGAATAACATAACCTTTAAAAAGATATTTTTTTTAAATATTGGACACTATTAACAAACGTGTTAAATTTTTATAACACGATATAATTTTTACTTTTAAAAGTTTATGTACATATATTATAATATATATCTTAAAAAAGAAAATAATTTGAATTTGAGATTTCTAAAAATATTAAGTTAAGTATACAATAATCATATATATATATATATATATATATGTTAGGTTTCTCAGTTGGCGCTACTGTTCTAATATATCACTTTTTTTGTACAGTAGAATAGTATTGCAGAGTTTTATTATAGTTATAAGTTTTACTTGTAAAAATTTATGTACACATATATATACATTAAAAAAAATAATTTGAGTTTGATACTTCTAAAAATAACACAATACGTGTTACGCTTGTATTTGGCGCCTTTTTTTTATTAAAACATACGCGCAATAATTATCTATAATTTGCATATATGGGCGTTTATGTAATTATAAGTAATATAAACGTCATGACAAATTAATGTGGCCGCGCGTTATCTCTGTCACGTCATTGCTAGAAATCGTCCGAAATTTCGAAATTATTTTCTTCCCGAATTATGAATATAAAACAATGTGGAAAGGAAAACAAGGGGTTGAAAGGGGGGACGACGACGTCTACCTTACGATAACATCGCTGCTGGCTCGCTTCGTCGCGATTGTCTATTTGCTGGTAGTGAGACGAAGACCGATTCTTCGTTTTTATCTAACTAATCTAGCTCGCTCGTGAACATAGCACAGAACAGAACCAAATAATTATCGACATAGCACGGAATAGTACCGACAAATCGTGGACATTGGCTTAGTAGTTGATGTCCATGAAAAATGGACCCAGTTAGCGCTTCGAATCAGCCAATTTTTCCATAACGCTGTAAATGCAGTCATGCCCGCTCTCAGGCTTCTCTCTGGTGCAACAAACCATACAGCAGTTTTGGTATTATAACATCGTTTTATTAGATTTAAATTAGAATCAGTTATTCATTATGGTGATGAGTTCGATTACTAGGACTAGGGCAGATAGTTTTCGCTGTTTTTTCTGTATATTCAATTTTATATTGCATATGATTGTTGTAGAATGAACACTGGTTGTTGAATTTCTCTCCTACTCTTTGCTTTCCCACTCTTTCTCTCTCACTCACTTACTCTCGGTATACTAGCAGTTTTCCGACTGATAAACAAGAAAGTTTTGTCTTTAAATTGCGTATGTTGTATCTTTGGTACAGATAAATATTCCGCGTAAAAATCTAATCAATGGGAAAAGCTGAAAACTGGGAATAATAATCGTCACACATCTTTCTTATTTCACTTGAATCTTTTTTATAATGAAATTCAACGTTGCGAATTCAATGTTCTTGGAAGGCAGAAACTTCGAATTTAAAGATACTTCTCACAAAACCGTTTCGCTATCGCCACTTTTGCCGTGGTTACGGCTTGTCGAAGCTTGTTTCGATTTTTCTACTTTTCTTTCCTCCTATAGCTTTTTCCAGAAACTCCAGGATACGACAAACCAGAACTCGAACGTCGGAGTAAGCGGGTCTTCTTCTTTCTAACGTGTGCCGCTGTAAGTTAAAAAATAGTTCCTGAGCGATCACTACGCCATAAACTAGAGCTCGGCAAAGTTTACAACTTTCGGCCGATTTTCGGAAGCTACGCCTTCTATCTCCCCTTACCGCGTGGCGGATTCAGCAACTGACGGTCGCGGCTCGCGACCTCAGGACCGTTGAAATCATAAGGCGCATCTATGTGGTTAAAAAAAAAAACGCGTCGGCAATAGTACCTCATGGGTGACGAGGAAACCTATTATGGTAAATATTTAGAAGTACACAGTCAGCTGCGATTTTAATGAGACTAGGCTCATTCGACATGTTTTTGCACGAGAAACAACTTTTCCCTGTGGCAAAATCTTCGCTCAGTTCCGCGAAGTGAGATATGAAGCGTTAAAGCAGATCATAATTCAGGTTAAGAAAGCTGTTATATTACCAAACTTTGGCGACATAAACATGCCTCGTAACTAACATAAACTTCCCGAGTAATATGCAAAAAGTTTTAATTCCGTGCTCACTGTTCGTTAAAAAGTTATTAACAAATGAAGTTAGTGATAAGAGTTTGCACCGAGCATGTATACACACACACACACACACCGAAGGGGGCGTGCGGGGAGGCCTTAGGCCCCCTACTCGCACCCTCCCCTCGAGGGTTAACAGGTGAAACTCGTTTCATATGGAAAGTCACATGTGAGTTTGCGACTTATTGCGACTTTCCACATGAAGCGAGTTTCACCCGTTGACCCTCGAAGGGGGGTGCAGGGGGGCCGAAGGCCCCCCCGCACGCTCCCTTCGGTGTGTGTGTGTGTGTGTATACATGCTCGGTGCAAACTCTTACCACTAACTTCATTTGTTAATAACTTTTTAACGAACAGTGAGCACGGACTAAAACTTTTTGCATGTTACTCGGGAAGTTTATGTCAGTTACGAGACATGTTTATGTCGTGTTAAGAAATTGCTATTATTGGCGGAAATAATGCACGAATACACGCACTTCTCTAGGCGACGAATGTATTACTGAGCAACGATATCACAAATCGGTTTAGATATGTCAACATCAAAATCACGGAACACTCGGAATTACAAGGCATGTTTATATTGCCAAAGTTCATCGATATAACAGCTTTCCTAACCTGAATTATGATCTGCTTTAACGCTTCATATCTTGCTTCGCAGAACTGAGCGACGATTTTGCCACGGGAAAAAGTTGTTTCTCGTGCAAAAACGCGTTGAATGAGCCTAGTCTCATTAAAATCGGAGCTGACTGTGTACTTTTAAATATTTACCTTTGTACGAAATATTATACATATAGTTGTATACGATACATTTATTTTTCAGCCTTTGACGTGCGTTAAAGGAGCGCATTGTCAACGTTAACACGTTATTCTATCTTTATCGCTCATTACATGTACAAGGATTGAGTGACGCGATAGCGCTGATTGACGCGCTCCCCGAACGCATCTTTAGTAGGCACCACATAGATGCGCTTTATGATCTCAACGGTCCTGAAGTTGCGAGCCGCGACCGTCAGTTGCTGCGCGATAAGGGTAGATAAAAGAAGGCGTAGCTTCCGAAAATCGGTCGAAAATTGTAAACTTTGCCGAGCTCTGCCATAAACGTTGCAGATGTAAAGTTTCTTACCCATGTGGATTAGTATGTGCTGCTGCATGTGATGTTTTAACTTGAATGTCTTGCCACAAAGACCACATCTCATACCAACGTGCATTGATGAGTGCCTATTCATAATGTCACCGCTGATATTCATGTTCAACGGGTAGAGGTATAGATCTTCGCCGTCCATGTCTTTTTGCATGAGCCCCTTTTGTTGCTTATATTGATCATCTATCTCGTCAATGATCGGCACCAAAACATTACGTCTATAATATATAGACCAGTTCAAAGAACACATGCCATCACCTTCTTCATTGTTATCATAGAATTTTTCACGAAAGAGTGCGCTCCGATGCTTCTCTGCCACGTGCAATTTCATACGGTCTTCTATATACAGACGATCGCACACGTCGCAGACGCGGATGATGAAGTCGTGCTTCTCATCCACGTGGCGCTGTACGTCTTCGAACATGTCGAAGCTGTGGTCACAGTATTCGCACTTAAGACGTATATTCACGTCTTCTGCAACAGCTTTATTTATTGTGAAAACTCCGTTGAGCGAGTTGCCTTTCAAAGATGGCATTTCCAAACAACCCGCAGAGTCTCTCTGCTGGTACCATCCTTTTACGAATTCCCACATGCGATCCTTTCGCTGCACTACAACGTGCGAAGTCGGCTTACTTCTGTTTTGCCTCATCGATGTGCACCTCATGTTTTCGATCAGCTAGCAAGTCCCGAACTCATATGCGTCCATAAATGACCACGAGGTATCACACGACGTCGAGCACACTCATTCGTTCCCAAAGTTTTGAGCAAGTCTACAGATCACCTTTATCTACCACTGCTTACGATCTCATGAACGTAGTCGCTTCTAACAAAGCCAGCTGAAACGTGTTCCTTATACAGCTTCTATATATAAGCAGAGAGAAGAAGAAGAGGGGTTATGGGCCGCTTTTAGGCCTGGTCTACAATACGTGTCGTAAATTGTAAGCTGTAAGGGCAAGAGCAAGAGCACAGGCTTTTGCAGACCGCATAATACATAACATATTAAGGTTCGTCTACAATAGCTGTAAGAGTAAAGCCCTAAACACAATGCCAGGCAACAGGCAATAAGAATAAAAATAGACCAATCACAATCGACTATTACAAGAATAATCTATTGTGATTGGTCTATTTTTATTCTTATTGCCTGTTGCCTGGCATTGTACAAGGGGCCTAAGGGCCATCACACGTAGAAAAATTTTAACCGTAACCGTAAGGTTGTAAGAAAACTGACCAATCACAGTCGATTATTATAGTGTCGCAAGAGAAAGGACCGACTGTGATTGGTCAGTTTTCTTACAACCTTACGGTTACGGTTAAAATTTTTCTACGTGTGATGGCCCTAAAGGCCATCACACGTAATGGTATTATGTGCTCTGGCCCAAAGCCTGTGCTCTTAAGGTCATTCTACAATACGTGTCGTAAGTTGTAAGCCGTAATAACTGACCAATTATACCCGATTGTTTTTGTAATAATCGACTGTGATTCGCCAATTCTTATGGCTTACAACTTACGACACGTATTGTAGAATGACCTTAATATTGAATATGTCATTGAGTGTGACATTGCAAGAGGAAATATTAAATATTGGATAAATGTTAACATTTTCTGGAGTGAAAATGCCTCTACGGTGCAGTTATTCCTTTTGGGACCTTACAATGCGCATGCACGGAAATTTTAATTTAGTGCACAAGTTCTCAGTTTAGCTTATACATAGAAGACCGTGGTCGCAGAGGACACTGTTAAACGTGGTCTACAGACAATAAGCAGTAAGAAGTAAGCGTAAGCGGTAAGAAATAAACCAATCACAGTCGATTGTTGACACAGACAAAAATAATCAACTGTAATTTGGTCCATTTCTTATACCTCGTCTACAATAGAAGTCATAGAGTCGTAAGCCGTACAAATTGATCAATCGCGGTCGATTATTTTTCTCTTACCGGACTATGATTGGTCAATTTCTACGACTTACGATTCTACAACTTCTATTGTAGACGGGGTATTACTATTCACGCTTACTTCTTACTGCTTACGGCCATTGTATACCACGCTTAACACTTTATCCAACACAAAATGTTCCAACAATGACACAGGGCCGTGTTCATAGTCCGGTCTTGTATTTAAGATCGTCTAAAGTTCATCTTCATATGCTGTATAGATTATTTCATTGGCTACAGAATATCTGAACGTAAAGTCAAGACGGTCTTAAATAAAATGACTATGAACACGGCCCTGAGAGGGTACTTATAATAACCTAGTTAGGCCCAGTTCCACAACTTGCTTTAAACGGAGTTTAATCGGAGTTAGAGTTAAGTTTTCGAGGAATAAAATATACGTATAGGTACAACCATCTTCTACCATCATAATTCATGGCAACTTAATGCTGTCTTATTGCCATTGAGTTGAGTTAAAAAAGTCGGTAGCTGAGGGTAAGACGAAAAATAGGATAGAAGGTAATAATCCGCAAAATTGTATTAATTGGAATAAAAAATAAATTTTAACGGTGCGTGGTAATTTTACATAATTATAACGCTTGATAAAGGTAATACTAATAATGATTAATTAAAATTTATTGTTTATCACAATTAATACAATTTTGCGGATTATAACGTTTTATCCTATTTTTCGTCTTACCGTCAACTATCGACTTTCTTAACTCAACTCAATGGCAATAAGACAGCCTTGAGTTGTCATGAAGTATGATGGTAGTAGATGGTTATACCTATACGTATATTTTATTCCTAGGAAACTTAACTCTAACTGGGTTATCGGAAGCACCCAGAGTTAAGCCAGCGGCACACGGTGCTTGTTTTCGTGCTGGGTTGCTTGCTGGATGAAAATACTGCGTTCCGATTGGTACTTTTCCGAAGATGGATGGAAATGCACCAATCAGAACGCAGTATTTTCATCCAGCAAGCAATCCAGCACGAAAACAAGCACCGTGTGCCGCTGGCTTTACACTGTTTTACACTGCAAAAGTCTGAGTTGCAATGGGTGCATTCAGTACTACACCGCTCACTGAGCGCTCAATAAGGTTTTACATTTGATTGGTATATTCCTTTAAATTTAAAAATATACACCAATCAGATGCAAGAGCTCATTAAGCGCTCAGTGAGCGGTTGTAGTACTGAATGTACCCAATGTATAATCATATCAATGCTACCAATGGCCGCGTTAAGTAGAACAAAGTGATCAGAGAGCGCTTACTGATTATTGTCTGTGATTGGAGCATTCTTTTAGATTCTTCATAGACCCAGAAGTATTGACAAATCAGGAGCGAGATGCAATGGAAAATCTAGTAATGTTGTCCAACTGTTGAATCTGCTGAATGCAGCCATTATTTCAAAATATTTTAACTAATAGATAGTAACCGTTCTTATTCCTTTAGTAAGAATGTAACCTATTACGAAGATAACTGATTCTTTGGAAAATACTTATTCCTTTAATTGTTTTAGAATCATATGCTTATTATATAGATCTGTGATACCTGTATTCATAATCCTTCTTTGAGAAATAAAGATAATTCTTTATTCCTCATTTCGCATTTCATTAACCTTCCTTGACCTTTCAAACAAAGAGCCTTACCGGCTTCTTTATCTCACGAGCTTCCTTGAGGAGGAAATGTTACCTTAAATCTGTTCTGTTAAATTCGTTTTCGCTGCACTTCTAAACTAATGCACAAAAGTGCAATAAGTTTTTAGCACATGATGCACAGAACTAATAAACTAAACATAATCTGCAACACTTATTTTGGTCCCATAGAATTTACTTGTGATGTCGCGCTTTCAAACTGAAAGTTCAAATATAAAGGAAAAAAAGGATAATGGACAACGAATTTTTAAATGACTCTGATGGTTTTTTTTTCGATAACCTCCTTAGCGGTAAGCTGCGCCAAGAACGTTCGCTCTCGCTCCGTATAATGTACGCTTTCATTATCTTTATCTATATCGCAATATGCACTGCACTGATGCTAGGTTGTAGCTTGCTCCGTTCCGATATCCACTGCTAGTACTATCTGTAGTTCGTGTCACGTATATTATAGAGTTTCAGTACTGACAGTGAATATTGGAGCTTTCCTTCCTTCCTTCTGAAAGGAAGACTCGAGATTCATTTATGAAATAAGATGGCCTTGGAGATTTAAGGAATACTTCATAGAGGCTTCCTCCATCTTTGAGATGAGGAAGGGCTATGAATACGGGTACTAGGTACTCATAAAAATAAGAATGACAAACCGTAATGCACTCTGGTGTCACATAAAGGAACTAAATTGCGTTTCAAAGAATACTTTATACGGTGTAGCACAGTGTAATTTAGCTGTAATTTAGGCCCAATTGCACCAACATTATTTTGGTTTTAAGTGAGACTTAAACATAAGTCTATCTTTATCTTTCTTACTAAATAAATAAAGACAGAGATATATTTAAGTCTCACTTAAAACCAAAATAATGTTGATGCAACTGGGCCTTAGTGTCATAGCTGAAAAACAGTCTATGTAAAGCCAGCGGCACACGGTGCTTGTTTTCGTGCTGGATTGCTTGCTGGATGAAAATACTGCATCCTGATTGGTGCATTTCCATCCATTTTCGGAAATGTACCAATCAAAAGGCAGTATTTTCATCCAGCAAGCAATCCAGCACGAAACCAAGCACCGTGTGCCGCTGGCTTAACTTGGAGAATCAATGGGTCTGTTCTTTTATAGCTGCACTGCTGAACTAGTGCAATAAGTTAGAGTGACAAAAAATATAGTTGTCTCATTTTAACTTATTGCAGCTAGTTCAGCAGTGCAGCTGTAAAGAATAGGCCTAAAATATGAGTATACGTAAGATGTGTGTTACAACAGTTATATTATTGTTTTGCAATTTTGCTATCTTTTTCCTACATAGCTGATCAATTTTTAACATGCATTAGTTATAAGGTTAGATTATACTAACATGTGTGTGTAACATGAGATTTGTTGTACTCTTGAGAAGGAACGAAATTTTTTTATGCAATAAGAACGTAAAAATTACTTTCATATATAAAGCGTGATGATTATTAATTAATATTATATTGTGATATTGTACATATGCATCTATGTCATTCCATGGATAAGGGTCCTTTTACGTTATCAGGCCTATTCCTGCTTAATTCCACAAAGCCTTTTTTGTGAAAACATATATCCCCTCGGGGCACGGACTCTGCTTTCGTCTCCTCCGTTTCTACTTCTGCTCAACTTCGAAGCTTGTTACGATTACTTTTCTTCCCTCCTATAGTTTTCTCCATAAACTAGAACACGACGAACCAGAACTGGAACGTCGGAATAAGCGGGTATTCTTCGTATTAATGCGTGTCCCTGTGACAGTTAAAGAAATAGTTCCTGAGTGATCGCCACATCATAAAACGTTGTAGATGTAAAATTTCTCATCTATGCGGATTAGCGTGTGCTGCTCCAGTTGATGATTTAGATTGAACGTCTTGCCTCACAGAACACAGGCATAAGATCTCGTGCCATCATGCGCTGATAAGTGCTTCGCGAGGACAGTATCGCAGATACTCTTGTTGCAGAACGGGTAGACGAATTGAAATTTGCAATCCTTTGGTAAGGACTTTTGTCTCTTTTATACTGATCATTCATTCCGTCTAGGATCGGCAAATCGCTGCAAACTTATAAACTAGTTCAAAGAAAATGTGCTCTTTACCTCGTCCTCATCTTCTTCATTCTCATCGTAGGATCATTCACGGAAATATCTGGTGCTCTCATGCTTCTCTATCACGTGCTTTTGCACGACGTATTTTATATCCATATACAGGGTGATCCGAAATTCCTGCATTCGGAGTACAGGACATAATACTTTATGCTAAAATAAACTACTTTTTACTGTAGCAAAATTGCGTCCGGCAAGTAGTTTTTGTAGAAGAACATGTTAAAGTTAACGAATAAGTGTTCTTGCTATGTGGCGCTCAGGTCCTGCGCGCGCGCCTCACTCGCGTGTACCTAGTCACTGACTAATATTCATAATTAATGCCTTTTAAGATGCTCATGCGGTTCTGTTGTGATTAGTTTACGACATCTTAAAACTGTACTTAAGACAATCTGACATATGCTTTGCGAATTGTGAAATCCCGTTATTGTTTATAGTTGATTTTTATTTAAGTTTATAGTTGATTTATTTAAAATTGTCTTAAGTATCTTAAGATGTCGTCAACTAATCACAACAGAGTCGTATGAGCGTCTTAAAAGATATTACTTATGAATACTAGAATAACTTTTTTAACTTACACTCAAATTTAAAAACATTTTTCACTTAAAATATTGTTAGACCATTAATACTCTCCTTTAATATGCTGTTTTACAAATTTTATGAAGCCTTTTGCCACTTTTCTTCACAATCACTATTTGTTTTCTTCATTTCTCCAATTATAACTCAAAGTCTCCAAGACATTTGTGTCTACGCCACAATCACTACTTATTTGACACTCGTATATGCCATCCTTCTATTCTCATAATAAGTGATAGCGCTGACGTATGAAGCAGTGGTTGTCTTTCTCCTCAAGTTGGAGCGCGTTCCGAAGTCAACAAAAAATCGGTGCACATACCTTTTAGTTCACGAGTGTACATGCGGTGATGATAGTGACCCTTTTCCAGCTATGATACGCTAAATTACACTGTGCTACACCGTGTAAAGTACTTGTTGGATCGCAATTTATTTTGTTTTTGGAACGCCAGAGTACATTACGGTTTGCCATTCTTATTTTTATGAATATCTTATGGAATTATATAATAAGTATATAATTCTAAATTAAAAACGTTAAATTAAAGGAATAAATATTTCCCAAAGAATCAATCATATTATTAGAATGTTTACATACAAATAGTTCTGAAAGGAAATAGAAAGAGGATGGTATATCAAGAAATTTATTTTAACAAGATATGTAAATAATAAAAGTCTTAATTATTTTTCTTTATATTTATATTCAACTTTCAGCAGAGACAAACGAGACAATGAGAAGGATGGAGGAACACTGATATCATTGGTTACATTTACATAACAAATTTTAATATACAAAGACCAGTTTATAAAAACGTATAATAGACACTATATTTCCCCGTTTCTTGATAACAGTTAGAAACATTAAATAAAAAAGCATTAAAACATAGAATGTGGATTATATCATCGCACTTCGCGTGTGCGGGGAGTCCCGGGGGATTTGTTACACCGCTGACTTCAGTAAATGCGCGGTGCGCTATTTTGCGCGCACCGGTGAGGAGCACGCATGTGCAAAATGAATGCATAAGGTACAATAGATGCAAGAATCGTACGTTGTGAACAATAACAGGAACAAAGAAACGTATGTTGAAAAATGTCCGCAGGACGCGTTTTGAAGCGAAAAGATATATTTGGAAAATGTCACTTTTGTAATCGATCGAGCAGACCTGCGACAGCAAGAATGTTTTATCAGATATAATAAAAGCGATTATTTGCTTATCTTCTTAAATGAGCAACTCAATTTTCGTTGTTTTGTCCGCTTTTTAACATAAAAGCCATGTGGTTTTCATGTAGTCGTCGCAAGATGGTAGGGAAATTTTTGCTCCGTTTCACCTAGTCTACACACGCCCGCAAAAGATTTATACCTCATCGTCAGCCACTCTGCATAATTCCACCACGCTTTCGTAAAAATACGTACCATCACAACACGAAATTTGCTCATCTCCGTCTCCTTCGTTTCTCCTTCTGCTCGACGTCGAAGCTTGTTTCGACTGCTTTTCATTCCTCCTGTTATTTTCGCCAGAAATTAGAATATGACGAACGAGGACTGGAATGTCGAAGTAAGCGGGTCTTGGACTTCTTTTTAATGCCTGTCCCTGTGACAGTTAAAAAAAGTTAAAAAAAATAGTTCCTGAGCGATCGCCACGCCGTAAACGTTGCAGATGTAGAGTTCTTACCCATGTGGATTAGCATGTGCTGCTCCAATTGATGCTTTAGGTTGAACTTCTTGCTGCAGATACTACAGACATAAGACCTAGCACCAACGTGCACTGATAAGTGCGCCATGAGCACGGCATCGTGGACATACTTGTAGCAGAACGGGCAGAAGAATAGATCTTTGCGGTTCTTGTTCTTTTGCAAGGACTTCATTTGTCTCTTACATGAATTATACTCCTCATAAATGATCGGCCCCAAGTCGCTGCGACTGTAACTTATAAGCTGCTCCAAGGACCATGTGCCCTCTACCTCGTTCTTACCTTCTTCATTCTTATCGTAGGATTGTTCACGGAAGTATATATCCTTGTGTTCCTTTATTATGTGCTTTTCCACTCTGTGTTTTAGACCCATATAACCACATAAGTCGCAGATGCACACGAAGAATTTGTGCCTCTCTTTCATGTGGCGTTCTACGTCTTCCAACGTATTGAAGCTCTGATTACAGATTTCGCACTCATGACATATATTCACGTCTTCTGCAACAGCTTTATTTATTGTGAAAACTCCGTTGAGCGAGTTGCCTTTCAAAGATGGCATTTCCAAACAATCCGAAGAGTCTCTCTGCTGGTACCATCCTTTTACGAATTCCCACATGCGATCCTTTCGCTGCGCTACAACGTGCGAAGTCGGCTTACTTCTGTTTTGCCTCATCGATATGCACCTCATGTTTTCGATCAGCTAGCAAGTCCCGCACAAATATGCGTCCATAAATGACCACGAGGTATCACACGACGTCGAGCACACTCACTCGTTCCCAAAGTTTTGATCAAGTCTACAGATCACCTTTATCTACCACTGCTTACGATCTCATGAACGTAGTCGCTTCTAACAAAGCCAGCTGAAACGTGTTCCTTATACAGCTCCTATATATAAGCAGAGAGAAGAAGAAGAGGGGTTATGGGCCGCTTTTAGGCCTGGTCTACAATACGTGTCGTAAATTGTAAGCTATAAGGGCAAGAGCAAGAGCACAGGCTTTTGCAGAACGCATAATACATAACGTATTAAGGTTCGTCTACAATAGCTGTAAGAGTAAAGCTCTAAACACAATGCCAGGCAACAGGCAATAAGAATAAAAATAGACCAATCACAATCGACTATTTAAAGAATAATCTATTGTGATTGGTCTATTTTTATTCTTATTGCCTGTTGCCTGACATTGTACAAGGGGCCTAAGGGCCATCACACGTAGAAAAATTTTAACCGTAACCGTAAGGTTGTAAGGAAACTGACCAATCACAGTCGATTATTATAATGTCACAAGAGAAAGGACCGACTGTGATTGGTCAGTTTTCTTACAACCTTACGGTTACGGTTAAAATTTTTCTACGTGTGATGGTCCTAAAGGCCATCACACGTAATGGTATTATGTGCTCTGGCCCAAAGCCTGTGCTCTTAAGGTCATTCTACAATACGTGTCGTAAGTTGTAAGCCGTAATAACTGACCAATTATACCCGATTGTTTTTGTAATAATCGACTGTGATTCGCCAATTCTTATGGCTTACAACTTACGACACGTATTGTAGAATGACCTTAACCCTATAGTTTACTACATCTATTGTAGACCAGGCCTTAGCCGAGCCCAGTGCGAAGCGCTCTCTGTACAATCGTGTAGTCGTGCGCATGAACTACGATGCCAGTGTCCATGATTCTTTACTGATTTCCCCCACCACGCATGCACGCCAGTCAGCTCGGTTTATCCGTGTCATACGGATAGACCGAGCCGGCTGTGCGTACGTACGTGGTGAGGGAAATCAGTAAATAATCGTAGACACTGGCATCGTAGTTCATGTGCATGGTTATACAGAGCGTACTTCCTACTGAGCTCGGCTAAAAGCGGCCCATGACCCTTCTTCTCTCTGCTTATATAAAACAGAATCGTACGCATGTGAGGTATATGCGCAAGAAACATACGTATTGTAAGGCCCCGAAAGGAATGTAACTGCACCGTATAGACATTTTTGCTCCAGAAAAAGTTAATATTTATCCAATATTTAATATTTATGTGAATATTGAATATGTCATTGAGTGTGACATTGCAAGAAGAAATATTAAATATTGGATAAATGTTAACATTTTCTGGAGTGAAAATGCCTTTACAGTGCAGTTATTCCTTTTGGGACCTTACAATGCGCATGCACGGAAATTTTAATTTAGTGCACAAGTTCTCAGTTTAGCTTATACATAGAAGTCCGTGGTCGCAGAGGACACTGTTAAACGTGGTCTACAGACAATAAGCAGTAAGAAGTAAGCGTAAGCGGTAAGAAATAAACCAATCACAGTCAATTGTTGACACAGACAAAAATAATCAACTGTAATTTGGTCCATTTCTTATACCTCGTCTACAATAGAAGTCATAGAGTCGTAAGCCGTACAAATTGATCAATCGCGGTCGATTATTTTTCTCTTACCGGACTATGATTGGTCAATTTCTACGACTTACGACTCTACGACTTCTATTGTAGACGAGGTATTACTATTCACGCTTACTTCTTACTGCTTACGGCCATTGTATACCACGCTTAACACTTTATCCAACACAGAATGTTCCAACAATGACACAGGGCCGTGTTCATAGTCCGGTCTTGTATTTAAGATCGTCTAAAGTTCATCTTCATATGCTGTATAGATTATTTCATTGGCTACAGAATATCTGAACGTAAAGTCAAGACGGTCTTAAATATAAGATCTGACTATGAACACGGCCCTGAGAGGGTGCTTATGATAACCTAGTTAGGCCCAGTTCCACAACTTGCTTTAAACGGAGTTTAATCGGAGTTAGAGTTTAGTTTTCGAGGAATAAAATATACGTATAGGTACAACCATCTACTACCATCATAATTCATGGAACTTAATGCTGTCTTATTGCCATTGAGTTGAGTTAAAAAAGTCGGTAGCTGAGGGTAAGACGAAAAATAGGATAGAAGGTAATAATCCGCAAAATTGTATTAATTGCGATAAAAAATAAATTTTAACGGTGCGTGGTAATTTTACATAATTATAACTCTTGATAAAGGTAATATTAATAATGATTAATTAAAATTTATTGTTCATCACAATTAATACAATTTTGCGGATTATAACGTTTTATCCTATTTTTCGTCTTACCGTCAACTATCGACTTTCTTAACTCAACTCAATGGCAATAAGACAGCATTGAGTTGTCATGAAGTATGATGGTAGTAGATGGTTATACCTATACGTATATTTTATTCCTAGGAAACTTAACTCTAACTGGGTTATCGGAAGCACCCAGAGTTAAGCCAGCGGCACACGGTGCTTGTTTTCGTGCTGGGTTGCTTGCTGGATGAAAATACTGCGTTCCGATTGGTACTTTTCCGAAGATGGATGGAAATGCACCAATCAGAACGCAGTATTTTCATCCAGCAAGCAATCCAGCACGAAAACAAGCACCGTGTGCCGCTGGCTTTACACTGTTCTACACTGCAAAAGTCTGAGTTGCAATGGGTGCATTCAGTACTACACCGCTCACTGAGCGCTCAATAAGGTTTTACATTTGATTGGTATATTCCTTTAAATTTAAAAATATACACCAATCAGATGCAAGAGCTCACTAAGCGCTCAGTGAGCGGTTGTAGTACTGAATGTACCCAATGTATAATCATATCAATGCTACCAATGACCGCGTTAAGTAGAACAAAGTGATCAGAAAGCGCTTAGTGATTATTGTCTGTGATTGGAGCATTCTTTCAGATTGTTCATAGACCCAGAAGTATTGACAAATCAGGAGCGAGATTCAATGGAAAATCTAGTAATGTTGTCCAACTGTTGAATCTGCTGAATGCAGCCATTATTTCAAAATATTTTAACTAATAGATAGTAACCGTTCTTATTCCTTTAGTAAGAATGTAACCTATTACGAATATAACTGATTCTTTGGAAAATACTTATTCCTTTAATTGTTTTAGAATCATATGCTTATTATATAGATCTGTAATACCCGTATTCATAATCCTTCCTTGAGAAATAAGGGTAATTCTTTATTCCTCATTTTACATTTCATAAATCTTCCTTGATCTTCTAAAAAAGGAGCCTTACCGGCTTCATTATATCACGAGCTTCCTTGAGGAGGAAATGTTATCTTAAATCTGTTCGTTTTCGCTACACTTCTAAACTAATACACAAAAGTGCAATAAGTTTTTAGCACATGATGCACAGAACTAATAAACTAAACATAATCTGCAACACTTATTTTGATCCCATAGAATTTACTTATGATGTCACGCTTTCAAACTGAAAGTTCAAATATAAAGGAAAAAAATGATAATGGACAACGAATTTTAAACGACTCTGATGGTTTTTTCTTCGATAACCTCCTTAGCGATAAGCTGCACCAAGAACATTCGCTCTTGCTCCGTATAATGTACGCTTTCATTATCTTTATCTATATTGCAATATGCACCGCATTGATGCTAGGTTTTAGCTTGCTCCGTTCCGATATCCACTGCTAGTACTATCTATAGTTCGTGTCACGTATATTATAGAGTTTCAGTACTGACAGTGAATATTGGAGCTTTCCTTCCTTCCTTCTGAAAGGAAGACTCGAGATTCATTTATGAAATAAGATGGCCTTGGAGATTTAACGAATTTTTCATAGAGGCTCCATCCTTCTTTCCTCCATCTTTAAGATAAGGAAAGGCTATGAATACGGGTATTAGATACTCATAAAAATAAGAATGACAAACCGTAGTGCACTCTGGTGTCACACAAAGGAACTAAATTGCGTTTCAACAAATACTTTATACGGTGTAGCACAGTGTAATTTAGCTGTAATTTAGTGTCATAGCTAGAAAACAGCCTATATAAAGCCAGCGGCACACGGTGCTTGTTTTTGTGCTGGATTGCTTACTGGATGAAAATATTACGTTCTGATTGGTGCATTTCCATCCATCTTGGAATTTTTAACGTTGAGAATTCACGTTATAACGAATAACGTTGAGTTGTTGAGTAGATAGACAAGGCGGGTTCTAACCCAAATTGCAAATTAATTATGCAAAATACGTTTTTTATTAATTAAATATTTTAATTATTACCCTCTCTTTATTATTACCCCCTCTTTATTAATACTCTTTCTCCTCTCCAGAATTTTTGATTCTATGAGCAAGATGGCAGCCGTGATGTCACGAGAGAAAAAGCATGTTGAGTGTTGTTAGATTCGAACCTGGGCCCCGCGTGATTGCTATCGAATGCTCGAACCTCCTAGACTACCATCCTCTTGCTAGTACACGTCACATTATGGGTAAGATGACGGCTGTGACGTCACGTATATGTCCAGAGAAAAAACGTGCCGGATGTTACTAGACTCGAACCTGGCCCCCCTTCCGCGGTTGCTATCGAACGCTCGAACCTCCTAAACCATCATTGCCTGTTGCTAGTAGATGTCTAGTGAAGGTTCGTACAGTGTGTACATGATGACATCATGCATACGTCAAAAGAAAAAAATAAGTCGAAACTAGGCCAGACTCAAACCCCGGACCCTTCGTTTGCTGTTCTCTCTCTCTCTCTCTCTCTCTCTCTCTCTCTCTCTCTCTCTCGTGACATCATCATATACACTGTAAGAACCTTCACTAAACGTCTACTAGCGATAAGTGATGATAGTCTAGGAGGTTCGGGTGTTCGATAGCAACCGCGGGGGGGGGCAGGTTCGAGTCTAGCAACACCCGGCACGTTTCTTTCTCTGGACATATGTGTGACGTCACAGCCGCCATCTTACCCGTAACGTGACGTCTACTAGCGATAGACGACGGTGGTCTAAGGCCGGTATTCATAGTCGGATCTTATATTTAAGACCGTCTCAAATTCATCTTCAGATGCTGTACAAATTATTTCATTGGCTACAAAGTATCTGAAGATGAACTTAAGGCGGTCTTAAATATAAGACCTG